CTGAGTCATCTTCCACTTCATCTGGAGGAAGAGGATGGACTGTGTCCAAAGGGACACCATGTACAAAGCTCTGGATAAGGAGGGGGGTGGGCGAAGAACATACCCAACACTGCCCTCATCCTGAGCTACTTTTGTGTTTGGCTGCATCAAGCTGTGTGTAGACCCTCAGTACACAAACACCAAGTGTCACTACGTACGGAGGTTCTACCTGTCCCCAATTTTGGGAAGGATGGGTCTAGCCTCGTTGCGGCAGGACAGTTCAAGTACTTGGACCATTCCATATTACCTGTCCTTCATGGAGAAATTTACAAAGAAAAACGCCTTTGAACACAAATCAGTCAGGAAGTGGTCAGCACGTAGCATCCTTGAGACCCTGCAGGAAAAGGAGAGGGTGCATCCTGTCAGGTGACTCCCTGAGCAGACTGTCAAAGTTATTCAGCAAAATGGCCTGGTCTCTGCGCGACTGCACAATGCCCTCGAAGTGGCTGTACTGGTGAAGAGACTGTTATTCATCTCCTTCTGGAATGTGCCTTTGTAAAGAAGGTTTTGAGAGAGATGCAGTGGTTTTTGTCAAGGTTCATCCCGAGCAGCTCCATGACACAAAACTCTATGCTCTACAATCTGTTAATATTCGGCCCTTCAATCCTGCTCCACCATTCATCACGATCATGACTGGTCGTCCAACTCGATAGCCTAATCCTGCTTTCTCCCCCAGTCTTTGATCTCATTTGCCCCAAGTGCTATATACAATTGCCTCTTGAATACATTTGTTTTGGCATCAACTACTTCTTGTGGTAATGAATTCCACAGGTTCACCAGTCTTTTGAGTGAAGAAATGTCTCCTCATCTCCATCCTAAATGGTCTACCCTGAATCCTCAGACTGTGACCCTTTTTTTTCAGTGCAAGTGACTGCATCTAGGCTCTAAGGCAAGTGATGCCTCTCCTCTGCTGTTCCCTGGGATACAAACCAAGACAAACATTGACTGCACCTGGAGGACCATCAACTCGGTGAAAGACGCTCTTTGGTCTGCCGGAAACCTGTTGGTTTTCCAGTACAGAGAGTTCACCTTGACTAAGTGTGGCAGACTGACACAGTCCAAAGTCCATGACTATATGTTGACTGACGCATTGAAGCTTGGGGCAACTGTCGCCATGGTGCAGCAGGGAAAGATCACTGTCTAGGGCCTTCTTACCAAAGTACAATGAGTGTCCATTCTGTTATAGGAACTGCCTCATTGCCTCAAAATGTAAATGTTTTCTTCCTGAAGGAGTTAAAAATGCCCTTGTTATTTGCAACTGCATGGTAGCTCTATGGGATGTCAAATTCCAAGGTACTGTTTGGGTTTCTTTATCCTTGTTGAAAAGATTATACAGAATGGAAAACAACCTTTTTGTATGTACTTATAATTTTTTTTATGAATAAAGTATATTTTTGCAATTTAAAAAAAATCACCTAATGACACTCCCTCACCTTCTACCATAGCTCTGTATCCTTTCTTCCTTTTCATTTAATCCAATTTCCTCTTGGATGCTCTTTTGATAATGTCCCTTCAACAATTCCAGATAGTTCATTCCAGATCCTGGCCACTCCCTGCATAAAACATATTTCTCTCATGTCGCCATTGGTGCTTTTGTCACTTACCTTAAATCTGTGTCCTCTTACTCCTTCCAAAAACAGCAACAGTTTCGCTCTATGTATGCACCCCTCATGATTTTGAATAATTCTATCAAATCTCCTCTTAATCTTCAGTTCAAGAATAACAGCCCAATCTAACTACAACAGCAGAAGACCTTCATTCCTGGAACCAATCTTTTCTACACCCACTAAATGCGTTCAAGAAAATTTTCTTTATCAATATGTAAATGTTCCTACTGGAGAAGGAGCAAAACTTAACTTTCTCTTGGGGAATAAGGAAGGGCAAGTAACTGAAGTATTAGTAGGGGAACACTTTGGGACTAGTGATCATAAAACTATTAGTTTTAAAATAGCTATGGAAAAGGATAAGTCTTCCACAAAAGTTAAAGTTCTTAATTGGAGTAAGACAAATTTTAAGGATACGAGACAAGAACTTTCAAAAGTTGATTGGAGTAGAATGTTCGCAGGTAAAATAACAACTGACAAGTGGGAGGCATTCAGAAGTGTGATAACGAGAGTTCAGAGGCATTATGTTCCTGTTAGAGTGAAGGGCAAGCCCGGTAAAATTAGGCAACAGTGGATGAATAACGATATTAAGGTTCCAGTCAAGAATTAAAAAGATTCGTATGTAAGATATAGACAACTGGGATCAATTGAATTCTTGAAGAATATAAAGAATATAGGGGCATCCTTAAAAAAGAAATCAGGAAGGTAAAGAGGGGATATGAGGTAGTCTTGGCAGATAAGGTTAAAGATAATCTAAAATGATTCTACAAATTAATTAAGAGCAAGAGAGAAACTCGAGAGAGAGTAGAACCACTTGAAGATTGACAAGGTCATCTTTGTGTTGAACCTCGAAGTGGGGAGGTGGGAAGATATTAGATCAATATTTCGCATCAGTTTTTACTGTTGAGAAACAAATGAGGATAGAGAACTCAGAGAAATAAATATTGATGTTTTGAAAACAGTTCACATTACAGAAGAGGAAGTGCTAGAGGTCTTAGAAAACATAAAGATAGATAAAGCACCAGGACCTGATCAAGTGTATCCCAGGGTGTTGTGGGAAGTTAGGGAGAAAATTGCAGGACCCCTAACAGAAATATTTGTATCATCTATAAACATTAATGAAGGACTAAAGGGTGGCTAATATTGTGCTATTAAGAAAGGCTCTAAGGAGAAGCCTGGAAACTATAGACGCGTGAGTTTGACATTGGTGGTGGGTAAGTTGTTGGAGGTGATTCTGAAAGATAGGATTTAGATGCATTTGGAGAGGCAAGGATTAGATTAGGGATAGTCAGCACGTTTTGTGCGAGGAAAATCATGTCTCACAAACTTGATTGAGTTTTTTAATGAAGTAATCAAAAAAAGATTTATGAAGGCAGAGCGGTATACATTATTTGCTTGGACTTTAGTAAAGCCTTTGACAAGGGTCTACATGGTAGACTAATTAGTAAAGATAGATCACTTGGGGTTCAGGATGAGCTTGCCAATGGATACAAACTTGGCTTTATGGTAGGAGACAGAGGTTGGTGGTGGAAGGTTGTTTTTCACGCTGGAGGTCTGTGACCAGCGGTGTTTCACAGGGATTAGTACTGGGTCCAATTTTGTTTATCATTTATATAAGTGATTTGAATGAAAATGTAGGATGCATAGTTAGTAAATTGGAAAATGACACCAAAATTGGTGCCATAGTGGACAGTGAAGAAGGTTGTCTGAGATTACAAAGAGATCTTGATTATTTGGATCATGCGCTGAGCAGTGGCAGATTGAGTTTAATTTGGATAAATGTGAGGTATTGCCTTTTGGTAATACAAACAAGGACAGGACCTACACAATTAATGGTAGGGCCCTGGATAGTGTTGTAGAACAGATAGATCTAGGAGTTCAGGTACATAATTCTTTGAAATCTGCATCACAGGTAGACGGGATGATAAAGAAAGCATTTAGCACGCTTGCTTTCATTGCTCTGACTTTTGAGTGTAGGAGTTGGAATGTCATGTTGAGGTTGTACAGGATGTTGTTGAGGCCTCTTCTGGAGTACTATGTGCAGTTCTGGTCACCCTGTTATTCGGAAGGCTATTATTAAACTGGAGTGGGTTCAGAAAAGATTTACCAGGATGTTGCCAGGAATGGAGGGATTGAGATATAAAAATAGACTGGAAAGGCTGGGACTTTGTTCACTGGAGGATAGGAGGTTGAGGGGGTGAGTTTATTGAGGTTTATAAACTCATGAAGGGTGCAGATAAGGTGAATGACAAGGGTCTTTTCTCTAAGGTGAGGCAGTTCAAAACTAGAGGCATATTTTTAAGGTGAGAAGAGGAAAATTTAAAAAGGACATGAGGGACAACTTTTTTTACATAGAGAGTGGTTCACACATGGAATGAACTGCCAGAGGAAAGTGCCAGGTACAGGTGCAGTTACAATGTTTAAAAAATATTTGAATAAATTCATGAATAGGAAAGGTTTGAGGGAATACGGACGAAACGCAGACATATGTGACTAGTTTAGTTTGGGATTGTGGTTGGCATGGAGCAGTTGGACCAAAGGTTGTATGACTCTAATATCTTCACAACCTTCCTGAAGTATGGTGCGCAGAACTGGACCCAGTGCTCCAGGTTGAGACCCAATTAGTATTTTATGAAAGTTTAACAGAGGTTTACCAACATCAGACATCTATATCTGAGGATTTTTCAATTTTGCACTTGAACTCAATTTTTAACAAGTTACAAACAGATTATTCTGAATATTCTGTTTCTTAAATTTGTTCCCTGAAATGCTAGTTTGCTATCGCATGGTACATCCCCAGTTGACCTCTGCTTACCTTGGCAGAACTGCAGTTCAAAGAACCACCAAGCGTGGGACTCCACAATGCCCATTGTAAAGGACACAGACCCTGTCTCAAATCCTGAGGAAGGAGTATTTAGAGAGAGAAGACTTCCAACTATTTATTGCAAAATTGCAAAGACAGCCTCCTAAAATATTGGATGGTGAGAAAAGTCAAAGATCACTAAAGATGTGTTGCCCTTTACTGTAAAGGCAGAATTCCTTGAATAGCCTGGGATCTCCTCTAGGCTTGGCCTTAAACAGTGAATGTGTTTCTTGAAAGTGGTCATAAAGCTCAACTGCCCACTCTTCTCTGTCCAGAATGCATGATACATGGGATACAAAGTTGTTGAAGCTACAGTCTCATAAATTGCAGCTAATTCTGTCTCCCCAGCCTCACACTCCCACCCAACCCCTAAGCTGCCCATATTGTGTCCTGGCTCCCAACAATAATATCAAGACCAAGTGGAAATATCTGGAAAACAACAATATATAATTGCCTACCTTTCATTTAAGCAAGTATGTAATGTTTTTATGTAGCTGAGAACTGCTTTGAATTTTCTTGTCACTTGCTGCGAGGGACATTGGATCCGAAGGAATCTCCTACCTATGAATATCTACGATTTGTGGGAAATTTCCAGTCATATAACAGTGGTGAGTGTTGAAATTTAGTCCAGATCTATTACATGAGACTAAGGGCTTAAAAATTAGTTTGTAAAACATGTATTGTATCTTACATATGAACACACAAATTAGAGAAATAAATCATTTAAAAAGTGGGACTGAAGAAAGAAGGATTAATTCACAATAAGTAAATCACTAAGCCAAGTAAACATTTTTTCACAAATATCCTATTCTAGGAATTATAAGAGTGGACATAGTTAAGTATAACACAAAAGCAAAATCTGAAATACAACAGAAAGTGAGGCAGTATCTGCCGAGAGAGAAATAGAGTCAAGGGCCTCGACATGATTTACTTAAAACTCATTCACTCACGCAATTAAAATTGGTGTTTCAATGTCATGAGTCTTCTGTCAAAAAAGATGACAGATGTAACAAGTTTTGATACAGAGGTCTGTAGATAAGAGGACAGAAGAACAATAGGGAAGATCACTGATCAAGGGAAGGAAGGAGAAGCTAAAAGAGAGATGGCAGTGAAAGGCAGAAAGAAATGATAATGGAACAAGTAAAGCCAAAAAAGATAGGTCTAAATGAAGTGTAAACAGGAATAGCAGATCATCATCAATTCCTGTATGAAAAATTGGGAACTGAAGCTCGTATCACAAGTTGTTGAATTCACTATTGAGTCTGGAAGGGCTTTGAAACGCTTAACTGAATGTGAAGGTACTGTTCCTTCAGCTTCTGTTCAGTTTAATTGAAACAGTACAGTAGACTAAGGGAGAGGTCAGAAGCAGGAAGTGTGGCAAAGAATTGATATGTCAAACATCCAGAACCTCAGGGCCATGCTTCAACTGAATGGAGATGATTCACAAAGTCATCTACATATTGTCTCCCCAGTGTGCAGGACACTGTGTCATGTGCAGTGAATACTGTGTTCTAAATTGAAGACATGAACATATGAATGGACCTTTGATAGTGAGGAGAGAAGAAGTAAAAGAACATGGAATATTGTGTCCAATTTTGATTTCCTTACTTCAAGAAGGATGTGGCGGCACTGGAGGCAGTTCAGAGGAGGTTCACCAGATTGATTCCAGGGATGAAAGGGTTGTCATACAAAGAGAAGTTGAATAGCTTGGGCTTGTACTCAAAGGAGTTCAAAAGAATGAGGTTGGATCTGATTGAGGTATATAAAATACTGAAGGGGGTTGATAAGATGGATGTTTAAACAGATGTTTCCCCCTTGTGGGACAGTCTGAAACAAGTGGTCATTGATATAGAGTGAGAGGAGGTAGATTCAAAACTGACTTGAGGAGAAACTACTTCTCTCAGAGAGTTGTGAATCTGTGGAACTCACTGCCCCAGAGTATAGTGGATGCAGAATCAATCAATAGTTTCAAGAAAGAAATAGTTACGTGTCTAATGAAAAGCAGGAGAAAGGGCTGTGGGGAGCAGGCAGGAAAGTGGATTTGACACCAGAATAAGATCCCTCCGCTTCTTCCTGTCCCGCAGGCCCGACCAGTCCCCCTCCACTGATACCCTCATCTGCTTAGCCGAACTCGTCCTCACACTCAACAACTTCTCTTTCAATTCCTCCCACTTCCTACAGACAAAGGGGGTAGCCATGGGTACCCGCATGGGCCCAAGCTACGCCTGCCTCTTTGTAGGTTACGTGGAACAATCCCTCTTCCGTACCTACACCGGCCCTAAACCCCACCTCTTCCTCCGTTACATTGATGACTGTATCGGCGCCGCCTCGTGCTCCCACGAGGAGCTCGAACAGTTCATACACTTCACTAACACCTTCCACCCCAACCTTAAGTTTACCTGGACCATCTCTAACACCTCTCTCCCCTTCCTGGACCTCTCTGTCTCCATATCGGGCAACCACCTCGAAACCGATATTCATTTCAAGCCCACCGACTCCCACAGCTACCTAGAATACTCCTCCTCCCACCCACCTTCCTGCAAAAATGCTATGCCCTATTCCCAATTCCTTCGCCTCCGCCGCATCTGCTCCCAGGATGAGGCATTCCACTCCCGTACATCTCAGTTGTCCTCGTTTTTCAAGGACCGTAACTTCCCCTCCTCGGTGGTCGAGAACGCCCTCAACTGTGTCTCCCACATCTCCCGCACCTCATCCCTCACACCCCGTCCACGCAATAAGAACCAAAAAAGAATCCCCCTCGTCCTCACGTACCACCCCACCAACCTCCGGATCCAACGCATCATCCTCCGACACTTCCGCCATCTGCAATCCGACCCCACCACCAAAGACATCTTTCCCTCCCCACCCTTATCTGCTTTCCGGAGGGACAACTCTCTCCGTGACTCCCTTGTCCTCTCCACACTCCCCTCCAGCTCCACCACACCCGGCACTTTTCCCTGCAACCGCAGGAACTGCTACACCTGCCCCCATACCTCCTCCCTCACCCCCATCCCAGGCCCCAAGAAAACTTTCCACATCAAGCAGATGTTCACCTGCACATCTGCCAATGTGGTATACTGCATCCGCTGTACCCGGTGTGGCTTCCTCTACATCGGGGAAACCAAGCGGAGACTCGGGGACCGCTTTGCAGAACACCTACGCTCGGTTCGCAATAAACAACTGCACTTCCCAGTCGCGAACCATTTCAACTCCCCCTCCCATTCCTCAGACGACATGTCCATCCTGGGCCTCCTGCAGTGCCACAACGATGCCACCCGAAGGTTGCAGGAACAGCAACTCCTATGATGCTGCTTGGCCTGCTGTGTTCATCCAGCCCTGCACCTTGTTGTCTCGGATTCTCCAGCATCTGCAGTTCCTACTATCTCAGCTATGATCATGTTAAATGGCAGAGTGGGCTCGAAGGGCTAAATTGCCTACTCCCACTCCTAACTCCTAGGTTCCTATGTTGTATCTCTTGCACTTGCAGACTGTCTGGAGTCTGTGTTGCTAGTGGGATATGATCTACACAGGATGGAACTGGTGGTGTCAGGGATATTAGCTGTAAGATACGAGTATGTCAAGTTGTTGCTTGATAGCTCTCCCAGTTTTGGCACAAGACCTAGGTATTAGTAAGGGAGAATGCTGCAGGTCAACTGGGTTGTCATTTCCGGTGCTGAGGTCAATCTGGATGCTCAGCCCAGCATTATCTTTTAACTTTTCTACAGTGAATTGTTTTTTTCTCCAACTTTCCCTCCTTCTATAAAGCTCCTGCTTCTCCTATTTCCTAATACGGATTCATTGGGTGTGTGTTAATGGTGGAGATATGTATCCTACAGCTTTTAGTTCAGAGTACTGTACCTGGCCCTGATTGAGACTTTATGCTTTTCAATATTGCTGTACATGAGTAGTAAGAGATTATGACTGAGCATGTTTAATATTAATATTTGTCTACAATTTCTATGCTAACATAGGAGTATGCAGTGTGGGTGTACTTTGGTTAATAATTTTTAAACAGACAGATATTATGCACTAAGAAAATTTACTAACTTGACCTGGAAAAAATACATGGCTAGGCAGTGTTGTCCCAAATAAAAGATTCTGCCCATTTTGCTGGACTGTACAGAGAAGAACACTTTTAAAGAAATGGAATTCTGTTAAAATTCCACATTCAGAATCCTATAGAGGTGCACATATTTTGGTGTACGTAAACCATGGAAATACTCATTGTCTATCAGAGAGATTGCTGAGAACAGACTTTCAAAACCATTTGATCATGTTCCAAATATCTGTGTCACTGGTAGAAGATTTGAAACGCTGTTTTCAAAAAGAAGCATACAGAGGGAATATTTACATTGCAAGTGGATGCATAGGGTGTAATATTCCAGGCTAGCAGGAGGCAGCCAGAAGGTGGCAGCCACTAGATTTCTGCAGGCTCTGCATCAGTGATGGAGTTGGCCTCAAGCTTCATTTATTTCTGCATGACTGAAAGCATGGACATGGGCAGAACAGGCCCCACCCTGTTGACCCCCTTCTTCTGACTTCAATAGCCTACCTTTCCCTCTGATCCCCACTGCTTGGGGCGCACCCTCCAATAATAATTACCTTTTTCCCTGGGTCACTGCTCTATCTTGGGGCTTTGAGGAGTTGCTGTACCGGCAGCAGCCACCACCATTTCTGTGGCGCTGCTGAGTGCTAGTTTTGCCGGCCTCCAATTTGCGAACAATTGACCTGCTAATTCTGTGGACTTTTAATTCAACCTCAACTCAAAAATAAATTCTGCTTTAAAGAATTAACACATTTAAAAGGATAAAATATCTAGCTGGTGTTAGGAAGGGGATTAAATAACAAAATCCATTTGGAATTAGGAATATATGACCAATTTATAAAGTACTTTTAATTACAGATTCTTTCATTGCCTAATATGCACTATGGTTAATATGGCCAGATGTAATTCAGACTGATGATCATGTGTGTGTGCATCCAAAAATAGCCCCACAGTTTCTTAACAATTAACAGATTATTTGTCAGGTTCATTGACCACTTTTAAAGAAATGGAAATCAGGCAAAATTCCATGTTAAGAATCTGTAGAGATGCATATATTTAGATGTATATAAAGCATGGAAACATTCATATTTAGTCTCTGTATAGATTATGTTAATAGATCGCTTATTACAGACTGGTATTAACCACTGTTTGAAATGTTCTTTTTCTTCTTTCTAATTGTAGTGCCTAGCTCGTCGTGTAACGGTTTTGAAGGTTCTGTTCAAAGGATGCTTCAAACAACAGTAGATGAACAGATGTGTTTTGTAGCAACCGTTCGTCTAGCAGCACCTCAGTTCATAAAGGTTAGTACATATGGACAGTGAAAATTGGCACTGTGGTGTGATCTATATACCAGGAATTCATGCCAGTGCTGCTTTTCTATGGTGGCTCATGCTCAGACACACCTGTCTGACACCTCGATGTCTATTATACAAGTGGTATCAATATATTTGTAGGAGATACTTTTTGAAATCACTTATTAATTAAATTTAAATAGCATGACTTTTTAAATGATTCTTAATTTCTAAAGCTTTTGATTTTTTTTGTAAACTTGTGATATGTAAGTAAAATTCTGAATTTTAGTCTGAATTGTGAACCAAGTAATGGCCTTTGGGTGATTATTAACGTCAATTTGTATTCATACAGTACTTTTAATGTATATGACATCCTCAGTAAGTAATGAGAGAGGAATTGAATGCTGAGCTGGAGACAGTTTAAATAGATTGACGGATAACTTGAATGTAAAGGTTTTTGAAGGATGGGAGATGAGGTAGAGACGTGTACAGGGAGTCAGAGTATTTTAAAGCTAACATAACTTATGTGAACAGAGAGAAAGAGAACTCATTCCTGACGGAGAAACAAAGTAAGGGGAAATGAACGAGTGGCCAGAATTGGAAAAGTAATGGAATGAGAAGTGAGGCTGGTAGAGATAAAATTGAGCAACAGGAGAGTGAAGCACGGGGTGGCACGGAGGCTCAGTGGTTAGCACTGCTGCCTTACAGCACCAGGGGCCTGTGTTCAATTCCAGCCTAAGGTGACCATGTGGAGTTTGCACATTCTCCCTGTGTCTGTTCTTGTTGCCTCCAACAGTCCAAAGATGTACAGGTTAGGTGGATTGGCCAGGCTAAATTGCCCATAGTGTCCAGAAATGTGTAGTCAAGGTGGATTAGCCACGGGGAATGCAGGGTTACAGGGGTAGGGTAGGGTGTTGGGTCCAGGTGGGATGCTCTGCAGAGGGTTGGTGCAGACTCAATGGGCTGAATGGCCTCTTTCCATGCTCTACAGATTTTATGATTCATTGTGTAGGACAGAATCTGGGTTTTGGACCAATTTGAGTTAATGCAGGGTGACAAGGGGAAGCCAGTGATGAGAATACTGGAATAATCAGGCCTTGAGGTGAGAAAAACATGAACGAGATTTTTTTCTGCCTTAGGTACAGATGATGAGATCAGTGGTATTGAAGCAGCTTCTTCCAGCGTTAATTTTCCACATTTTGGATCCAGTGTCAGCCTTAAGTTACTCCCAGGTCTGCTATATCACTGAGCAAACTGAACAGAATGAGGTCGATTTTCATTTTGCGTCATCATGGAAAATTGGTGATAGCAAGTCACAGCTTGGTTTTCATCTCTGCTGGTGTTTATTTCCATTGAAATCATTGAACTATCTGTTTTGGATGTTTTCCCACATAATTATACATGCATTTTCTATAGGGAATGGCATTGGCTAATAGAACATGTCTCTGTGGGACAGAATTTGCTGATCATAATATCTTGTTTAAAATAGTTATAGCTACCAGTGTGTTTGAAGATGGGGAGGTCTCATAAACTATAGCCTACCCACTGCCTTCCCAGCATCCCTCAAACTGTTTCCCATGTTATGGAGGGCAGTGGAGGTGTCAGGCAGGCCAACTGCCCTTGGGACAGTCAAGACCCATAAGTGGCTTCTCAGTGCATCATCCAACCCCACCCACTATTATGGCAGAGGAGGCCTATGACATGCTGGTCATAGTTTTTATTGGGCAAGAGGTGTGCAAGTCCCCAGTGGAGGCACTCCATCCATTTCCCGCTGCCACCCAAAGACCATACCCCCTACTTAACCTTTTCTCAGCCTCTCAAATCCTCCCCCAGCCACCAAATTCTACTCACATTTTACAGAATCACAACAGGAGGCCACTCAGTCCATTGTGCCAGCACCAGCTGTAATATCTAGTCCAGCTCTGTTATCTAGTACCAATCTCCTGCCATTTCCCCATATCCCAGCATACCATTAAAATAAAAAAAAGTCCAATGCCCTTTTGAATGCCTCAGTTGAACCTGTCCCCACCACATTTCCAGGCAGTGCATTCCATGCCCTAACTACTCACTGTGTGAGAAAGGTTTTTTTTCTCAATTCACCCTTGCTTTATTTGCACGTCACTTTAAATCTATGCCTCTTGTTCTTATTTCATTTGGAAGCAGAAACATCTTCACCCTATCTATTCTGTCCAGCTGCTCATGATTTTGAAAACCTCAATCAGATCTCCTCTCAACTTTCTTCTCACCACGGGGAACAGTCCCAACTTCTCCAGTCTATCCTCATAGCTGAAGTTTCTCATACCTGGAACAATTATAATAAATCGCTTCTGCACTCCTTTCCATAATGTGAAGCCCACAACTGAACACAATACTGTATCAGAGGTTTAAGAAGTGTATTGTATAAATTCAACATCTTCTCTTTGCTCTTGTGCTCCATGCCCTTATAAGTAAAGCCGAGAACACTATATGCTTTATTAATTGCTCTCTCCACCTGATTGCCACCTTCAATGATCTGGGCACATACGCACCCAGGTCCCTCTGCTCCTGCATCCCCCGTAGAATTGTACCCCTATTTTATAGAGTTGTTCAATATTCTGCCAACCAAAGTGCAACACTTCACATTTCTCTGCATTGAACATCACCTGCCACTTATCTGCCCATTCCAAGTGGTCTATGTCCCATTTCTAATTGGGGCCTGCCAGCCAGGCCCTGCTGATATCTTTCAGTCCAAACTGATACATGCTTTCAGTCCGAACTCTCTAACTTCCTATCCTTCTTAGGTTGCCTGTCGTTCAGCTGTAGCCACAGCTTAAATCTGGCTCTTCTGCAATCACAGAAGTTCTCTAAGGCAAGACCTCCTCCCGAAATGGAGCAAAGGTCTTGCCTTGAGACAATTAATGTCCCACTGAGCATGCTTCCTGCTTTTACTATGTGAGATCCCAATCAACTATGTAGTCATTTGTTGGGGGAGGGAGAAATGGGAACATAGTGCACTGTAAAATCCAGCCTCAGGTAAAGATTACTGTAAAAGTATTTAACTGGGGGGGTGCTAACTTCAGTGAGCTGAGTAAAATTTGGCCCAAGTAGATTGGTATCAAAAATTGATAGACAGAACAGTAATTAGACAATGGACTTCAAAAAGATGGTCAGGTATACAGTAGGCACATTCCCATGACAAGGAAAGAAAGGTATTCAAGGCTAGTGTCACCAGCTGACTAAACATGTAGGGGATAAAAGTGAGAGAGAAAAGCAGGCTTGTGACCAAAGGAAGGCTTTTATTCACTAGACAACCAAGCTGAATATCGAAACTACAGAGATCCAAAAAAATGTAAATAATAGGAGCAAAGAGAGAATATGAGAATAGATTAGTAAGTGACATAGAGGTAGGACAAAAATCTTTTCTAAGTACATATGTGGTAAAAGGGTAGCCAAAGTAAGAGCAGGGCTGTTTAGGGGCTAGAAGAGGAGATCTGGAGGCAGAGGGCATGTCTGAGATACAAAATGATTACTTTGCAACCATTTTAATACAAAGAATTTTAAAGTCATACATTTTGATGTATTTTTATAGAAAGATGAAATGCAGCAAAATGAACTAAATGCTGTAGTTTTAAACGGACTGGAGGAACAGAGTGAGATCTGGGGGCAAATGTACATGAAACAATGAAAGTACAGGAAGAAAAGTATTTTGAAAAGCAAATGGCATCCTTCACTTTGTTAATAGAGAAATAGAGTACAGAAGCAAAGACTTTTTTCTGTGTTCACTGCTAATGGGCCAAGGGCCAGGATGACACCACATGACCAGCAGTGGCATGCTAGTTTAAGGATGTGTAGACAGTTGCTCTGTAACGCAAGTCGTCTGTTACATAAACCTGTTTGAGATTTTCACATATGAACCTATGCCATCAATCCAATATTAGACAGGTTATTCTGTGTTATGAAAAAATATTACAAGAATATGGCAGTTTAATAAATCTTACAGGCTAGGCCTCAGCTGCAGTATTGTGTTCAGTTCTAGACACAATATTTTTAGAAAGGATGTCCAGAACTTGGAAAGGGTGAAAAAGTGATTTATTAGAATGGTACCAGGCTTTAGGGACTTTCATTAAGTGACAGGACTGGAGAAACTGGGGTTATTCTCCTGAGAGCAGAGAAGGTTAATAGGATATTTGTTTTTAGTTTTGATGGAGTAAGTAAGGAAAAACTGCTTTCAGTGACAAAACAGTTGGTAACTAGAGGACAAAGATTTAAGGTGATTGGTAAAAGAACGAAAGGTGACTCAAAAACTTTTATTTTACGGTCTGAGTTATTGAGACTGTACACTGAACAAATATTCAGTGAATTAGTTGTACTTCCAGGTATAAAATTTAGAGGGAAGAACATAACAAGCTTGCAATACTCTGAATAGGCAGTACAAAGTAGCATAGATCAAATAAAATCTAGAATTTAGAATAATGTTTAAATATGAACACCAAAAAAAGATAAAACAATGGTGTTTAGATGGAGTATATTAGACAAAAATATGGGGAGGATTGAAGTGGATGGTGTGTCATGTGAACAAGTAGATAAGTTGTCTATTCAGGACGTTTAATAACAGAAGGTGGTAGATGTGATGCAGAAGTGAAAAGAAGAATACAGGTAGCCAGAAGTCATTTTTTAAAGATAATGAATGTGTTAACAACAATAAAACTTAAACTGGTAACAAGGAAAAAAACTCCTAAAAGTGTACAATCTTTCTATCCAATTTCCTGTATACCTCAGACACCTGAGCAAAAATTATATGTCTCTGGAAGAAATTAGAGATTTTTGAAATGCGGATGTCTAAATGTATGCTAACAATTCCATATACAGAAAATTAGTCAAATGAAGAAGTATTTGAAAGTGCAACAACAAAAAGAACTTTAAAGAAGTGACATCAGAAAATAAAATGTCAGTATTTCAGACATTTAATCAAATCTGAAAAGCTGCAGAGAGCTTTTTCAGAAGGCAGTGTGAAGAACAGCAGAAAGAGGGATCGACCTAGGTGTAATTGGATGGCAGATGGCACAGAGTGGTTGTTGATAGTCTGCAGTGGATGTGTGAGGATGGAGCAGTACAGACACCATGATAACATATCTCCTGGCAGGAATAGCTACCCGCAGCAGCATAGTTGTTGTGATCTGGGATGTACTGTCTGAAAGACTGAGTAGAAATAAATTCAATAGTAATTTTGAAAATTAAATAGATAAGATATTGAAAGGAAAGATTTTACGGGGCTACAGGAAGAGAGCAAAGGAGTGTGATTAATTGAATACCTCTATCAGATTCCTAGCACAGGCAAAATGGGCAGTCTTTGGTGCAGAATCATTCCACAATTCTACACAGCGGAAAGCTAAGGGATAACTGTTGCCTCTGAATGTGAGAATTTGCTGTTTACTCAACAATGAAACCCTTACTCTTACACATCTAAGCTGAAGCATGATCTAAAATGTCGTCCAATGATATTAGTCAATTATTTACTTTTAAAATTTATTCTGAATATTAAAAAGGAATAGCTTTCTCAATGAACTATATTTAATATTATAGCACATTGATTTACAAAACTCTGAAATGTAACATTAAAAATTCTACCACTGTTAACCATCTTTATAATACTTTATTTCAACACAGGAGATGTGCATAATAGAGGAGCCTTTAGAAGAATTTACCTCTCGACATAGCTTGGAGTGGAAGTTTTTATTTCTAGATCACAGGTTAGTGAGAATTCTTGTCTGATGAATGCAGAACTTAGCAATGTCATGTTGCCAAGTTGGTTTAAGCATAAGAAGTACTTCTGGAAGCAATATGTGTCTCTGGAAGGAAAATTAACTCTTAGTTTCCTTGTACAGGGTGCTTTACTTCCATTTCCATTTTGCTACATCAAATATTAATGTGAATATTGTTACAGTTTTAAAGGAGCAAAGAAACCTGGGAGTTTACCTACACAAATATTTAAATGTGAAAGGACAACTTGATAAGGATGTTGAAAACCATACATATTTCTTGGGCTGACAAATAGAGGCTTTGAGTACAAAATCAAGGAGGTTATGCTGTGTCTGTACAAAGCAGTGGATAGGCCTCAGCAGAGTTAATATGCCCTATTCTATATCCCACATGTCAGGAAAGATGTCAAGGCCTTGAAGAGAGGGCAAAGGTAATTTACCAGAAGGGTACCAGAGATGAGACACCTCAATATGTGGAAAGATAAAGAAAGCTGAGATTTTTTTAACAGCAAAAAAGATTAGTGGGAGATTTATTAGAGGTTTTAATATTGAATATAAGAAGAAATGACTTCCACTGAGGGGAGGGTCTTATTCAAAGGGAAGGGGAGTTCACTGTGTGATAGAGGTGCATTATTACTATTATCATTTGGAAATTTGTATTTTTAAACGAGTGGCAGATAAACTTTAACATCAGTTCTGTGAAGGTGACTTTTTAAAAAGTCAGCAATTCACTTGATAAAGTACGGAAATACATAATTCCTAAGAAAGTGTATGATTTACTAAGTGCCTAGCCAGGTATCTGTGGTAAAAACCTAAAGAACTGTGGATGCTGTAAATCAGAAACAAAACAGAAGTTGCTGGAAAAGCTCAGCAGGTCTGCCAGCATCTGTGAAGAGAAATCAAAGTTAATGTTTCAGGTCCAGTGACCCTTCCTCAGAATTGACGGTAGGTAGGAAAATGTGGGTTTTTATGCAGACGATAAGGTGGGGGGGAAGGGGTGCGGAGTAAACAATAGGTGGGGATACAGCCGAAAGAGAGAGAAGAACTGTTGGACAGTCAAAGGAGTGGATAATGATCTGGCTAGGGGGGTGAATAGCTGTTAATAGGGACTGTTCGTGACTAACAATGGGTAGTGTGTAATGCCAGACTATGTGATAACAAGGCCTTGTTGTGTGGGGTTGGGAGCTAGGACATGGGAGCGTTCAGGCCCTAAAGTGATTGAACTCGATATTGAGTCCAGAGGGCTGCAGAGTCGCCAAGTGGAAAATGAGGTACTGTTCTTCCAGCTTGTGCTGAGGCTTGTGCTGAGCTTCACTAGAGCACTGCAGCAAGCCAGAGACAGAAATGTTGGCTAGGGAAAAGTGTGATGTGTTAAAGTGGCAGGCAGCTGGAAGCTCAGGGTCTTTTCTGCAGCCAGGGTGTCCCAGAGGAAACATTCCCTGCAGAAGGTAGACAAGGGTGGGGAGGGGAATATGTGTCTGGTGCTGGCATCTTACTGGAGGTGGCGGAAATGGTGACTGATGATCTTCTGGAATGTGGATGCTGGTGGGATGGTAGGTAAGGACAAGGGTAACCCTATTGCTGTTGCAAGAGTGTAAAGAGGGGCTGAGGGCGGAAGTGGAGGAGATACATCAGACCCATTTGAGAGCCCTGTGGACCATGGTGCTGGGAATCCTCTTCCCATGTGCTGATGTACCTCTCCCCACCCCACAGACCCCTTCGCCCAGCTCCAACACTCTCCCTCCAGCTGGACCCCTCCCTCTGGTCTTTTACCTGCACTCTATCTGTTCATTGAGAACTGTTGAGGTGACATTGGTCACCTCAATTTCTCTGCCCGCCTCAAGCAATTGAAACTGGACGGATAACCTGGCATTGATCTAGGCACCAGAAAAGACAATGGCATAAACAGCCCTGTTGACCCTGCCAAGTCCTCCTCACTAACATCTGGGGGCTAGTGCCAAATTGGGAGAGCTATCTCATAGACTAGTTAAGCAACAGCCTGACATAGTCATACCCATGGAATCATACCTCACAGACAATGTCCCAGACACCACCATCACCATCCCTAGATATGTCCTGTCTTACCGGCAGGACAGTCCCAGCAGAGGTGACGGCACACTGGTATACAGTCAGGAAGGAGTTGCTTTAGGAGTCCTCAATATTGACTCCAGACCCCATGAAGTCTTGTGGCTTCAGGTTAAACATGGGCAAGGAAATCTCCTGCTGATTACCACAAACCGTCCTCCCTCAGCTGATGAATCAGTACTCCTCATTATTGAAGAACACTTAGAGGAAGCACTGAGGATGGCAAGGGCACAAAATGTACTCTGGGTGGGGGATTTCAATGTTCACCACTAGAGTGAACTCGGTAGCAGTATTACTGATCGAGCTGGTTGGGTCCTAAAGGACATAGCTGCTAGACTGGGTCTGCGGCAGGTGGTGAGGGAACCAACAAGAGGGAAAAACAGACTTGACCTCATCCTTACCAATCTGCCAGCTGCAGATGCATCTGTCCGTGACAGTATCGGTAAGAGTGACCATCGCACAGTCCTTGTGGAGGTGAAGTCACGCCTTCACATTGAGAACAACCTCCATCGTGATGTGTGGCACTATCACTGTGCTAAAAGGGACAGAGTTCGCACAGATCTAGCAACTCAAGACTGGGCATCCATGAGGCACTGTGGGCCATCAACAGCAGCAGAATTGTACTCCAGCACAATCTGTAACCTCTTGTCCAGCATATCCCCCACTCAACCATTAACATCAAGCCAGGAGGTCAACCCTGGTTCAATGGAGAGTGCAGGAGGGCATGCCAGGAACAGCACCAGGCATACCTGAAGATGAGGTATCAACCTGGTGAAACCACCAAACATGACTACTTGCATGCCAAACAGCAAAAGCAGCAAGTGATAGTGCTAAGCGATCCCACAACCAACGGATCAGATCTAAGCTCTGCAGTCCAGCCATATCCAGTCGTGAATGGTGGTGGACAATTAAACAACTCACTGGAGGAGGAGGCTCCACAAATATCCCCATCCTCAATGATGGAAGAGCCCAGCACATCAGTGCAAAAGATAAGGCTGAAGCATTCGCAGCAAACTTCAGCCAGAAGTGCCAAGTGGATGATCCATCTCGGCCTCCTCCAGTGGTCCCCAGCATTACAGATACCAGTCTTCAGCCAATTCAGTTCACTCCATGTGATATCAAGAAACTGTTGGAGAGACACTGGATACTGCAAAGGCTACCGGCCCAACCATCTTCAACTGCTTCATCAATGACCTTCCCTCCATCATAAGGTCAGAAGTGGGGATGTTCACTGATGATTGCACAATGTTCAGCACCATTCGTGACTCCTCAGATGCTGAAGCAGTCCATGTTCACATGCAACAAGATCTGGACATTATCCAGGCTTGAGCTGACAAGTGGCAAATAATATTTGCGCCACACAAATGCCAGGCTATGACCATCACCAATAAGAGACAATCTAACCACCGTCCCTTGACATTCAGTGGTGTTACCATCACTGAATCCTCCACTATCAACATCCTGGGGGTTACCATTGACCAGAAACTTAACTGGACTCACCACATAAACACAGTGGCTACAAGAGGAGGCCAGAAGCTAGAAATACTGCGGCGAGTAACTCACCTCCTGACTCCTCAAAGCCTGTCCACCATCTACAAGGCACAAGTCAAGAGTGTGATGGAATACTTCCCACTTGCCTGGATGACAGCAGCCCCAATAACACTCAAGAAGCTTGACACCATCCAGGACAAAGCAGCCCACTTGATTGGCACTACATCCACAAGTATCCATTCCCTCCACCACCAACGCACACTAGCAGCAATGTGTACTATCTACAAGATGAACTGCAGAAATTCACCAAAGATCCTCAGACAGCACCTTCCAAACCCACAACTACTGCCATCTAGAAGGACAAGGGCATCAGACATATGGGAACACCACCACCTCCAAGTTCCCCTCCAAGTCACTCACCATCCTGACTTGGAAATATACTGCCGTTCATTCACTGTCGCTGGGTCAAAATCCTTCAATTCTCTCCCAAATAGCATTGTGGGGCAACATACAGCAGGAGGACTGCAGTGGTTCAAGAAGGCAGCTCACCACCACCATTTCAAGGGCAACTAGGGATGGGCAAGAAATGCTGGCCAGCCACTGATGCCCACATCCTACAAAATGATAGAGAAAAAAAAATTTCAATGTGTCTCCCTCCAAACTGACTCGACTCCATGCGTTTAGATCCAACCCTGACTTTGTTATTAAGCCTGCCAGTAAGAGTGGTGCTGTTGTAGTCTCGCATACAGACCTCTACATTGCAGAAGCTGAATGCCAGCTCTCACATACCTCCTCCTATCTTCCCCTGGACCATGATCCCACCATGGCACATCAGGCCACTGTATCAACTATGGTCACTGAGCTCATTTCATCTGGTGATCTGCCCCCCACTACTTCCAAGCTGATAGTCCCCCAGCCCTGCACAGCTCGCATCTACCTCCTCCCAAAAATCCACCAACAGGACTGTCCGGGCAGACCCATTGTTTCTGCCTGCTCCTGCCCCACAGAACTCATCTTTTCCTATCTCGACTCGCTCTTTTCTTCTCTGGTCTAGTCCCTGCCCACTTACATCCGTGATTCCACTGATGCTTTAGACCAATTTCAAAATTTCCAGTTTGCAGGTATCAGCCATCTCCTCTTTACCATGGACGTGCAATCCCCCACCAAGAGGGTCTTTGGGCTCTCCGCTTCTTCCTGGAGCAAAGGCCTGAACCGTCCCAACCCAGCACCACCCTCCTCCGTTTGGCCGAGCTCATCCTCACCTTCAACAACTTCTAAAATTAACTCCTCGCATTTTCTTCAGGTAAGAGGGGTGGCCGTGGTACGCACATGGGCCCCAGTTATACCTGTCACTTCAAGGGCTACATGGAACATTCCTTATTCCAGTCCTATTCCGGCCCTCACTCACGACTCTT